AAACTCAATAAATAAGGCACTGGCAGGGCTGGAGCTCAGCTCTGGTGTTTCTGCCTTCATCTGCAGTAGGTACCACTCACAGGCAGCTGAAGGACTGTAATGAGATGATTGTGGATTTAACTGAGAAAATGTCTTTCTTCCTGCAAAGAAAACCCATTTCCCAGTTCCTTTTGGATTCTCTGTTTAATTTCTGTCAGCTGGAGCAGTGGCAGCAGCCCTGTCCTGGGGATCCTCACCATGGGAGCAGAGGGACTTTCCACAGGAGAGCACCTCCTGGAGCTGGAGTTTATCTTCCAGTGCCCATCCCTGGGGTGAGGTGGGAGTGCTGGAGGAAATGTAAAGAAATTATCAGGTGGGGAATGTTCCTGCACATTCCAGAGAGGGGATGGATGGGAGCTGCAAAGAGCTTGGGAAGAGCAGAGGCACCAGGTCGGATGTGGTGGATAAATCAATTCTTATTTCTCCAAGCATCACGTTCTCTTGCTTTAAACCCTCTTTCTTTCCATGCTTTGAGGAAAATTCCTCCTGCTTTTTTGGCTGGCAGGAGAAACTAAAGCCCAGAGCAGGCAGGGAGCTCTGGCCTAAGCCCAGATCCCAGCTCAGGAGCTGCAGGCTCCCAGCCTCTCCTTGTGCCTGACCTGGAGCGCTCTGCACAGCGACTGGCAAATCTTGGCTGCAGGGCAGATTTTTCAAGGAGCTGCAGATTTTCACAGTTTACATGGTTGCCAAGATAATCCTGGGCTGTGTAAAACGTCTCTGTGTGGATTTCTCCCAGAATTGGACAGTTTGCCACCAGCCAGGGGCTGTGTGGTGACGCAGTCCCAGACAGCTCCCAGGCTTCTCACACACATTTGGGATAAATGTCAGGAGTTCAGGCTGCTCTCCAAGCCCTGTCATGGAGAAAAAAGACCAAAAAAAACAGGAAAAGCAGCACTTGGAGATGGTCATTTTTCAGACTCCTGCTGTAACAGGGCACTGATTTTAACTGAAGCCTTCAGACTAGCAGAAGCAGGGGAGGATTTTGTGGTTTCCCCCCCGTACCCCAGGAGGTGAAGGTAAACAACCAGAGCCCCTTGTGCCTTGGCAGTTAACAAGTTCAGCGTGTTTCATAGAAACTGCATCCTAATTTTTATTCCAAACAAGATCTCGGCACTAATTTCTGTTTTGACAAATAGGATTTGACATAAGAACAGTGGGAGTCAAGACCTTTCATTTTTGATCTGGGTTTACATTGCGCTCATCTAAATTCCTCCCCCTTCTGCTCTTGCTTTTCAGTTGTAAACTCTGTTATTAAAGTTAGCAAAGAGCTGTTTGAAGCCCCCTGTTCCGTGGCATTTAAAGAGTCCTGCTGCATGCAAGATTAAATCTGATATCTTCCTAATGGCTCGTGCTGTTCGTTTGAGGCGTCGGCACAAAGCGTCGCTGCACGGATTTTGAAATGGCTTGGTTGGAAATGAAGGATTTGGTTTCACTGAGCCACTTCATCAAGGGTTCTTTGCCAAGTGGCAGGACCAGGCCCCATGGGGCTGAGGGCATTAGAGATGAGGTTCCCCCAGCTCTCTGCCTGCTGCAGGGCTGGCTGAGGTCGGGCCGGGCTTCCATCCCTCCCTGGGGCAGACAGCTGGTGGCAATCACAGGGGAACCTGGCTCTAAGCAGGGGGGACACAGCACAAGGAATTTTCTCGTGGGAGGTTGGAATTGGATCATCTTTAAGGCCCCTTCCAACCCAAACCAGCCTGTGAAAGGATAATTTTATCTGAGCTGGGCCCTGATGTCGGGGAGTGCTGGAAAGCTGCTGGAGATCCTGCTGAGGATGCTCCTGTCTCCTGCTGCTTGGGAATCCTGTTCCCAAAGGCACACCCTGAACTCCTCCGTGGTCCCTGGACCCCAAAGCAAAGCTGTGGGGCAGGAGGGTCCAGCCCGTGCTCTGGGGGCCTTTGCAGGGTCCTTGTTCTCCATGCCAGGCACAGAGGGTGGTGGATTCAGGAGAGCCTCTGGAAGGATCTCTCCTTCCTGAGGAAAAGGCTGTCAGACCCCGCTCGGAGCTGCTTGGCTGCTGAAGCATCACTTGGGTGGCTTCTTTTAAGGCTCTCAAGGGACAGACTTGCAGCTGGGAGCCCTTCAAGTCTCCTGTCTGGCCTGTGGTACTCCGTGGTGGTGTTTTGGGAAGAGGGGAGCGTTCTCCATCCCTCCCATCACAGCTGCTCCCTTGGAAGATCAGCTCTGGGGGCTGGATGAGTGCTGGGGTGAGGCCACTTGCTCAGCTGCTGGGACAGGCAGGTGAGTCTGGGCTTGGACACGTACATCCCCAGCCTTAAACACCTCACCCCAAGGTTTTTCATTTGGGGCAGAATTTCTTCCTAGAGCCTGAGTCATTTCCGACAAAAAAAGAAAAAAAAAATTAAGAAAAGAAGAAACAAACCAAGGCAAAACCCCCTCACAGCTACCAGTGGCAGCTCCTCTCCACCCAGCACCTTTCCCCAGCATGAATTAAGTTAGTGTTGGTTGGTGCTCTCCGTGGCAGGGCTCAGCTCCTGGGGTGGGTGGCAGCAGGAACAGAGCAGCCTTGTTGCCCACACTCCTCTCTCCATTCTTCTGCTGCACAAAAGAGCAAATCCAGGGTGGCACAGGCTCTCCTGCAGCTCAGGGAGAGATGGAGCTTTGTCTGCCCCCATCAGCTGCTGCTTCTCCTCCCCGATCAGCTCTGGGCAGAGGCCCTGCCACCAGAGCTGCTGTGGCACTCAGAAATGCCCCAGACCCCCTGGCTTCCTCCTGAGGTCCCTGTTCTTCTCCCTGGTCCCACTGGAGGGGGAATGGAGGATCTGGTGGGTCCTTTCCCCCGTGCCTGTTCTCTCCAGGGCGCTGAGGAGCTGCTGGAGGAGCTGCTGTGGATCCCAAAGGCCCTTTTGGGATCAGCAGAGTGCCTCTGCCTCTCCCTGCTGAAGGTGGCCCCACTCCAGCCAGTCTGGGGCAGGACCAGGAGGGGTTTTTCATAGCACACCTGGGTTTGGGGAGACAGGAGCAATCTCAGATGTGGGGTCCTGCTTAAAAGGCACTGCTGCCAGCCCTGGAACTTCCAGGAGGGTTTCTGTCACGGGTTTCTTGGTTCCTACTTTAAAACCCCCTCAGAGCTGGTACAGTCAGGCTGAAAACAGCAATTTCCAGATGAGGGTGTCAGCAAGAGCCAGGAGTGACAGAGAGGGGTTGGGTTTGGTTTTGAGCTGCCTCCCCTTTGATTGCAGCCCTCCCACCCTCGTGTGCTGGTGGTGTGACAAACCTGGCAGGAGGTGGCAGGAGGTGGCACCCCCCTGCCAGGGGTGTGTTTGTGCTGCAGGGACCTGCTGGGCTGTGCACACCCCAAATCCTGAGAGCTGCCCCTGTGGCTGCTCGAGGGAGCCAAGCTGGGCAGGAAGGAGGGAAGGTGCTCCCCTGGCACGGAAGGCACAGGCTGGGGGTCTCTGGGTGCCCTCTGTGCTGGCGAGGGACGGGCACAGCCAGGCCTGGGTTTTTCCTGGGCTGAGGAGGGCAAGGAGCTGCCTCTCCATCCCTCCCCTGGCACTGGAGCTGGCACTGGAGCTGGCACGGCCCCTCCTGGCCTGGGGGGCTCTGGGGCTGCAGGGAAGGGCTCAGTGGGCATCTGCAGCTGCTTCAAAGCTGGTGCAGAAGAAAGGGAGCACGGCGCAGCCCCTGGTACAGAGCACACAGCCCCAGGTTCTTCTGACGCACGGGGCGAGGGAATATTTAAAACAAATGTTTAATGTGACACAAAGACAAAGCAGCAGGGGAGCCGGGTTTGCCCTCCACTTTGTCAAACGCAGGCAGGAGAGCTGAGCCACTCCAAGCGTGTTCCCAGTCCCCAGGGCCATTCCCAAGTTAAAGACCTGACTTGCTAAGAACATAAAAGGCTCTGTCAATTCCAGCAATATTCCTCACCTCAATTAATCATCCCAGAAAATGGTGAGTTTGTTGCGTCTTTGTCTCCATTTAGCTTGAGCAAATCCAACTTTCCTCATTGTCTCTCTGCAGATTATGAAAAGCTTTTGTTGATTATATCATCAAATTAAGGCGAGCGCAGCGGTGTGATTTTCCTCTCAGAATATCACAGGAACAGCTGTGCCTTAGGTGCCACTGCCCTTCCTTCCCTGTTTAAAATGCTCTCCCTGCCTCCCTGTCACGTCTCTCCTTGCTAACAGGAAAGTGTATAAAAACCACATCATCATTAATATTGAAGAGTGATTAGGGCTGATAAGAGCAGCCCAGCCTGTGGTGGTGTTTTCCATGCTCTGTGCTTTGGGCAAACATTCCAGGCCTGTGTCAGCCCGGCTGATTTTTGGAGCCCACCAGTTGATCCAGGGCCCGTTCTATTCCATTGCTCCTGGAGATGGCTCCAGTTAGATGATCATTTCCCAGGCCTGCAGGGATAAATGGATTTCTGGAGGCTGCCTCTGCCTTCCTCCTCTCCCACAGCCCCTGCTTTCCATGCAGACAGCATCCCAGAGGCAGCAATCCGTAGTGGAGCAGTAAAGTCCTGCCTGGGTTTTTATTAAAGCAATGATGTGCTGCCTGGCTGAAAAGTGTCCAAACTGCAATCTTGTGGCATCAACAAAACAAGGCAGGATCCTTCCCTAGGGGAGAGGAGCCGGAATGGGTGGATCTGAGCACTTCCCTGGGCTGCAGGGGTGAGGCACACCAGGCTCAGACACAGTCCCTGTGTCCCTTGGTGGGGGCAGAAACATTTGCTGAGCCACTCTGGCCAAGGCGGGATGGCAGCAAAGCCTTGCACTTGTGGCTGGGGGCTTCAGGTGTGGACCCTGAGCTGTTCCTCGGGGGAATTCTTCCAGAATTCAGTGTTCTGCCGTGCCTTTGGGAGCTGGGCCTCTCCAGCTGTGGGTGCAGAGCTGGGGAGATGCCACCAGACAGCCCCAGGCTGGGACTGGGAGCTGTGCCTGTCCCAGGCTGACTCAGCTGTGGCTTCATCTCTCTGTGTTTCTGCCACACAGGAGGCCTTCGAGGAGCAACTGTGATAGATGCCTTAGATACCCTCTACATCATGGGGCTCGAGGAGGAATTCCAGGAAGCCAAGCAGTGGGTGGAGAAGAGCTTTGACTTGAACGTGGTGAGTCAGCTGCTGGGAATGCCTGCCTGTGCCACCCAGAGTGCCAGTCCTGATCACAATCTTCCCCTGGAGTCCCAAACCCGGAGCTCTGGGGGGGAAGAAACCACTCAGCTGCTTTTCTTTCTAAGGCCAAAGGGAGCAGTGCAGTGATTCACCCCAATTTTCTGCTGGTTCCAGCAGGGGCCACCAGCTCAGCCTCACCATGTCTGGCTGACAAGGAGGTTCAGGGTTTAATGGTTCTTGTGTTCTGGTCTGGGTTATGGGAGCAGACACTCCCTATTAGACACTCCAAGGAAATGTTCTCATCAAAGAACGAGTTCTGTTTCATCTCAGGTAAATGTCTGCCTGCAGTGAGATGAGATTTCCTTATTAAATTAGATCAAGGTTGTAAACGCAGCTCCCCTTGTCTGGGCCCTTTGTTGGTGTCACTGCTGGGCCCTGTGTGACACCTGAGCAGCACAGAGGGAGGCAGGGTTAGGAAGGAAGGGCATCACCTCTGGAAACAGCTGGGGTGCTTCTCCCTGGGGCTCCTGGCGCTGTCCTGGGCACGTGGGGCTGTGCTGGGCTCTGGGAGCAGCTCAGCAGTGCTGGCAGCTGAAGGCTGAAGTCCCTCCTCTGTCCCTGGCCGTGCTCTGGAGCTGCTCCTGCATCCCTCATCCCCAGCTGATGGCATCTCATCAATGGCACACACTGAGAATGTTAAAACCAAAGTGCAGCTTAAACTCGTATTTGTTTAATGCCAGTCTAGTTGTTGTGAGGAATGGTTCTCCCAGGGGAACAATGCCTGCAGCTGCCTTTATAGAGAAGCATCATTTGGGAGGGCACCACTGGCATTCGTGGATTCATAAAAGGCAGCCCACGTCTGATAAATCTGGTGAATGGTCTCAGTCTGTTACTGAATCGATAAACAAGGGACAAAATCAACTGGGAGATAATTTATCTGGATTTCATAAAAGCTTTTAATCTTGGCCTGCAGAATAGATTGATCTGTAAAGACAAGAGTGAATGCTGTGGATTGATCCCTGGAGTCAGGGAGCACAGCAGGGGAGGCAGGGGGAAGTTAATTCAATATTACCTCTGCACAAGGAGCTCTCACAGGCCAGAAAAGCAGGACCCACAAGCTCTGCTTGAAACCGAGTGCTGTGATCTGTCTGAAGTTGTGTCAGGGGGAGTTCAGGCTGCATTTTGGGCAGAGGCTCTTCCCCAGAGGTGCTGGGCACAGCCCAGGCTCCCCAGGGAATGGGCACAGCCCCGAGGCTGCCAGAGCTCCAGGAGCCTTTGGACACCACTCCAGGGATGCCCAGGGTGGGATTTTGGGGGTCTGGGCAGGGCCAGGGGTGGGACTGGATGATCCTGGTGGGTCCTGCAGCTCAGGAGGTTGTGTGGTTGTGTGATCTGCCCTGCCAGACCCAGGTGCTGTCCCGGGTGAGGAATGGGGCAGTTTGGGTGGTTCTCTCCCCTGCCTGTCTCTGCAGAGGGCTGGCACATGGGCACAGAGCTGAGGGCTGTGCTTGTGTCTTTGCAGAACGGAGAGGCTTCGCTCTTCGAGGTGAACATCCGCTACATCGGGGGGCTCCTGGCCACCTACTACCTGACAGGAGAGGAGGTGGGTCCCCCAGCCCGGGGTCCCCCAGCCCCGGGGTCCCCCAGCCCCGGGGTCCTCCAGCCCAGGGTCCCCCCAGCCCCGGGGTCCCCCAGCCCCAGGAACCAGCTGAGAGGGCTCTCCAGCAGCTCTGCCCTGAGCATCAGATAATCCCCCCTTAACAACAGGCTAAACCCATCCTTTTTGTGCATATGGAAATGTCACTAATGTTCCTTTAATTAAGCCTCGAATAATTACCTTGCACTCACCGTGCATGGCTCATTTGCCAGAGATCTTTCCTCCTGTGGGCAATTCTAGCAAGGCACGTTTGCAGCTGGACACATTGCTCCCCGGGGAAATGCCATTTGCAGAGGATCTTTGTCTCTGTGCTTGTCCCTCTCTCTCCCAAGCCGGGTGGGATTTCATCAGACGTGATCCCAGACCTGCCTCGGGCTGAGGAGGGCAGCTGAGAGGGGCAGGTGCTCCCCCCTCGGCTGAACGTCCCTGTGGAGCAGGAATTGCTGAGGTGAAGTGCCCTGGGATGCAGAGCCCGGGGTCACAGCCCCTGCGGTGGCTGCTGGTCCCCCTGGAGCCCTGGGTGAAGCAGGAGATCCCATTTCACTGCCCTCCCTGCTGCCCAGCCTGGGGCACAATGCCAGCCTCTGTCTGATGCTGTGCCCGGGCTGGAATTGTGGCTGGAGGGAGATGAGGAGATGATTCCTCTGCCCTGGGAGTCTTTGCTGAGCTGAAACTCTGGCTCAGGGGGAGTTCTGTGAGGCTGGCCCTAAATGAGAGCTCACCACCACAGAGGGTGGGATGGCTCCTGCACACTGACACCATTGATCCAGGAGCAGCTCTTTTACTTCAGCTGCGTTTTAAATGTGTTCCAGGAATGGCTTCCCTCGGGATTTCCCTGCAGGGAAAACTCTCAAAGACTCAGTGCCCTGACTCAGAGTCTGTCTCAGTGACAGCTTCAACAGGTTTCAGACCAACAGAGCAAAAAGAAACCACATTAAACCATAAAACTCCAGCAGTGACCTCTTGAAGTCCCGTGAGTGACTGGGGCAGTGCCTGTCACTTACCAGTGTCACTGAAAGGCAAAACCCAGTGCCTGTCTCCTGCTTTCCCCTCTGAACAACCCCCTGCTTCCTTGGGAGGGTATCAAAGGTCTGCGAGCCCACAGGAGAGCTCAGGTTCCCTCAGTGCTGTATTTTTAGAGCAATGAATTCCTGCTTTCCGAGAGCTACCACCACAGGGCTAGAGGTAAAAGGCTTGTGCTTTATCTCCTAAGTCACTTAGAGGCTTCTCTTGATCAGGACTAATCTCTGCAGTGAAGATTAGTGCTGGTATCAGTCTGTCCCAAAATAATTGTGTGTGCTTGCTTTGTGCTGCAAGGCACCATAAGCTGCAATTTGAGTGGAAAGCCCAAAACTGAGGCATTACCCGTGCAAAAGGAGCAGCTTAGCCATGAAACCACGAATCCTTCTTGGTCATCTCTGCAGGGAGGAGATGGTTTGTTGGAAATCGTGGTTTTTACAACAGGACATGACATGAGCTGGGCAAGCCCATGGGTAAACCTGAGAGTGCTTCAGCCCAGGATTTCTTCTGATTTCTGCTCAGTCACTGCAGCTCCTCGTGTTCTCTGCCATCCTGGAATGGGAGGAATTTGGAGAGCAGCCTGGATCAGCTCAGATCACGGGGGGCTGTTGTGAGCTGCTCTGGTCCAGGCTGAGGCTTTGGCAGGGGACTGGGAGCTGGGTTAGTGCACATTTGAGAGGAAATTGAGAGATGCCAAAGTTCAGTGAGACTTTTGGTTCAGACTTTTTGTGCAGGGGAACCAGGGCACAGCACACCTGGAACAGGGGGTTCTGCAGCACCATGTTTGGAAAAGGGGATGTGGGAGAATCCTCTGTGACTCATTCCATCAAACATTTATCCTCCCTTTTAACAGGTGTTCAAGAACAAAGCTCTGGAACTCGGAGAGAAACTTCTGCCAGCCTTCAACACCCCCACTGGGATCCCACGTGGAGTGATCAACCTGGGCAGGCAAGGCACACGTCCCCAGCAGCATTTCCTTTATTCTGGGGGCTGGCAAGGAGCAGCAGCAGCTCCTCAGGGCTGTCCCCTCTAGAGCAGACTCCTCCAGGTCATTGGCTTTGCCAGCTCCTACCTTGGCACAGATTGCAGGTGGCTCAGGCCAAACCCAGCTGGGTTTTATTAATTTGGGCCTGTCCACAGTTTCTTCCTCTGCCTCCTGACAGGGCCCCCCGCTGCAAGAGCATTTTCCTCTCTCATTTTCTTTGAAAGGTGATTTTGTAGTCTGCTCGTAGCCGGGATTTTTGCAGTGTGCCCAGCTAGATGAACGTGAATTCATCCAGAAAAAATGGATTTAAAAAATTGGGAAAACCGGGCAAGGGAGTGGATGGGACTGGCTGACAGGTTTGGTGCTGGAAAAGGGGGAGAAGAGCACACAGCCCTCAGGCAGGCTCTGTCCTTCCTTAGAGCCCAGAATTCAGGCTGGTGATGTTCTCGAGGCCAGGGGAGGCAGCTGAGTGCAGTAAATCCCTGCAAAAGGTCTGGCAGCAAACAGAGCAGAGCTGGGGCTGCCCTCCTGCCCCTGGCTCTGCTGGCAGGCAGCTCCCTGCCAGCCAGGCAGGATTTGGATTTGCTGGTTCTGATGCATCCAAACAAATCCAGGGCTGAGAGCTGCAGGAAACGTGGGTTAACAAAGCTTTTCATCCTCACCTCTTGCAAAACCCTCAAAGTCATTATCCAGCCTTTAGCCCAAATCTCCTCCTTGGCTCTGCAAGCAAAAGACTTCCAAATATTTGGCTCAGGCTGCTGCGTTGCTCAAATATCACTGTCACCCCTCAGTTGTCTGATGTGCTCCTGATCCCGGGGAAAATTGGAGCCACCAGCAGGTCTGTAATTGTCCTTTTTTACAGCACAGACATCCTGCTTCCTCTGTGGCTGATAAAGGCTCTGCACAGGCTAACCTTTCACAGAAATGCCAAACCCTCCCCTGCCCTTTGTGAAGACAATTGAAGCAGGCTCTGTCTGCCCAGACATTCCCAAAATGTTTCGCTGGTGACCTTGAGTGAGAGCAGAGCAAATGGACAGAACACCCAGCCCATGCAGAGCCCCCAGTGCTGCTGGAGCTGCGGTGAGGGCAGGAGTGAGGGCAGGAGTGGCAGCTGAGAGAGGAGCAGGGCTGGAGGGAGCTGCACCCACCCCTGAGCTGCACCCCTGAGCTGCACCCCTGAGCTGCACCCCTGAGCTGCACCCACAGCCTGAGCTGCACCCCTGAGCTGCACCCACAGCCTGAGCTGCACCCCTGAACTGCACCCACAGCCTGAACTGCACCCCAGCCTGAGCTGCACCCCTGAACTGCAACCACAGCCTGAGCTGCACCCCTGAACTGCAGCCACAGCCTGAGCTGCACCCGCAGCCTGAGCTTCACCCCTGAGCTGCAGCCCTGAGCTGCACCCGCAGCCTGAGCTGCAGCCCTGAGCTGTGCAGGAACACAGCAGCAGCCAAAGCTGCAAACCCACAGGGGAAGGGGATTCCTCAGAGTGCAAGTGGAAGCAGAGGAGGGCGAGGTGAGGCTGTGGGACCACACTGACCCAAACATCAGGGCCACAGCAAAGCCCAGAAGAGTTTTGCCAGGAGGGATCCTCTCTCCAATTCTGCTTTGGCAAGGATGTGCTGATTCCAGAGACCCCTCACCCTCCCGAAAGGAGGAGGGTCGTGCAGTGTGGGTGGGCCTCTGTTGGTGGCAGTTTGGGGGGTGGGTTAAGAAGGACACTCAGAAATTTGAAACCAAAAAACCCCCTTGGCATTGAGTCAGTTCTGCACGTTCATTTTCGAGGGGCCAAGCACAGCCAGCCCCCCCAGCTCTCCCACAAGCAGCTGCCTTTATCTCTTGCTGTCACCTTGTCCTCTGTGGTCCCCTCTCTGCTGATGAGCTTCCTGTGGCTGCCTGCTTTCCCCTGGTTCTGTGTCCATCTCCCAGCCTGCTTTCCCCTCTCTGTGTCCCTGCTTTCCCCTCTCTGTGTCCCTGCTTTCCCCTCTCTGTGTCCCATCTCCCAGCCTGTTTCCATCCTGCTGCTCCTGCTGGCCCTGGAGTGCTCTGGGTGCTCCAGCTGCTCTCTGCTCTGCTCTGAGCTCTGCCTGTGCTGCTTTCCTGGCCCTGCTTTCCTGCACGTCCCCCTAAAGCCTCTGTACCTCCACATCTTCCCTCAGCATCCTCTCCTGGCCTCTCTCCTGACCTGGCACTGGTTTTGCTGCTTTGGATCCCCATGAGGGAAGGCAATGATTTGACATTTCAGACCCACTTATCTGGGAGATAGAGGAGCTTCTGGGCATGTTCTTTTTTCCCTTGGAGGCCAAGGTCTTTTCAACAGCAGCTTCCTCCGAGCTGCCATGGAGCAAGGGAGCTGTGGAGGCCCAGTTTGTGAGGCTGACAAAGGTTTTCCTGCAGGGGGTCCCTGCTGGCTGCTCTCTCACCAGGGACACGCTCTGCTTCCTCCTTCCCCTGCCCAGCAGCTTTTGTGCTGTTTGACCCCAGCTCGGGCTCCGGGCTGTGCTCTTGGGGAGGGCAGGGTTGTGATGATCTCTGGGAGCCCACAGAGTTGCAAACAGGGCCCAGCCTGGCAGCTGCAGCTCTGCTGGGCTGGGCTGGGTTGGGCTGAGCTGGGCTGGGCAGAGCTGAACAGAACAGAACAGGGCTGAGCTGGGCTGGGCTGAGCTGAGCAGAACAGAACAGAGCTGAGCTGGGCTGGGCTGAGCTGAGCTGAGCTGAGCTGTTTGTGAGGCTGTGTTTGCTGTTTGTTGTTGTTTGTTGTTTGCTGTTTGCTGTTTGTTGTTTGCTGTTTGTTGTTTGCTGTTTGTTTGCTGTTTGCTGTTTGTTGTTGTTTGCTGTTTGTTGTTTGCTGTTTGTTGTTTGCTGTTTGTTGTTTGCTGTTTGTTGTTTGCTGTTTTTGCAGCCCCCCTCCAGTGCAGGAAATGAAGGGCAGGCACGGAGCCCTGGCAGGTGGCAGAGCTCGGGGGCTGCCCAGCTGCCCCAGCAGCTCCAGGCTCAGCAGGCCCGTGCAGTGGGGTGGGAGTGCTGCTCTCAGCTCCAGCTCTGGCTGCCAGAGCCCCCCGGGCTCCTGGGGTGCCCTGGAGCTGCACTCCGTGCCCCAGAGCAGGGGTGTCCATTGCCTGTCCAAGGCTCCCCTCGGAGGCAAACAGCCAGCTCGGGGCTGCCACGCTTTCCTCTCCATCCCAGCGAGGGAAACTTCTTCTTTTTCCTTTTCCTGCTCGGAAGGATCATGAGTTTTAACCTCCTGTAAACAACGAACCCTTCTGCTCTCCCAGCCAAGCTTCCCGGCGCCATCTAGTGCCACCCCCACCCTTCCCTGTCCCCGGAGCCGTCCCCTCCCCGGCTTCGCTGCAGGGAGATGGAAAAACGAGCCAGGACACTCCGAGGCTCTGGGGCAGCACCGCAGAGGCTGCTCTGGCTCTGTCCTGTGCGGAGGGCTCCAGAGGAGCAGAGCTCGGGAGTGCCAGAAGGATATTCTATATTCTATCCCCCCGTGTCTGTGTGGGGCAGGGTGGCAGTGCTCCTGCAGAGCTGTTTGCAGCTGGGCTGTTCAGGAGGGATTCCTCTGCCACAAAGAAATGCAGCTTGTGCAGTCTGTGTGTTAGCCCAGTCCTAAAGAAGCTCTGCAAAATCACAGCTCGGTGCCACTGGAGCTGCTGCTGAAAATGTGTGTGTGTGTCCTAAGTGTGTGTGTATTCTAAATGTGTGTGTGTGTCCTAAGTGTGTGTGTGTCCTAAATCTGTGTGTGTATTCTAAATGTGTGTGTGTCCTAAATGTGTGTGTGTTTCCTAAATCTGTGTTGTGTGTGTCCTAAATGTGTGTGTATCCTAAATGTGTGTGTGTATCCTACATGTGTGTGTGTCCTAAATATATGTGTGTTTCCTAAATCTGTGTTAAGTGTGTGCCCTAAGTGTGTGTGTGTATCCTAAATCTGTGTGTGTGCCCTAAATCTGTGTGTGTATTCTAAATGTGTGTGTGTGCCCTAAATGTGTGTGTATCCTAAATCTGTGTGTGCCCTGAGTGTGTGTGTGTGTGTCCTAAATCTGTGTGTGTATCCTAAATCTGTGTGTGTATCCTAAATCTGTGTGTGCCCTG